TGTCTGTCTGGAGGAGGACACAACCCATTCACTATCACTTAGAGGAAGACGCTCAGCACATGAAGACGAACAAGAATATCGATCGTCTCTTCCCCACTTGAAATGCTGCTTCTGGCAGAAAACGTTTACAGTTGTTCATGTCCTCAGAAGAAGCCTAGAAGCCTCCGTTACTGCTCATTGGCAGAGAAGATGAAAAAAATGTGGCTGAATTGATTTAATTGAATAATTCTGTACCCATTCATGTAGGAAAAGCTATAAGAGAGAAAGTGCCCAAGGACTATGGAGATTCGTCCACAGAAGCTGCAGCATATGCGAACATCTGTAAACACCAAGCAGGTGAGGGATGTCACTGCTTTTCATTCTCCACCTCCCATGACCCCCTTTGCTTAAGAATTCAAAGTTGACTTTTCAACTGGCACGCAAGGTGGAGGAATAGCTAGATTGGCACAAAAGACATTCTGTGATTCAGCACTGCCACCCTCCAGCCAGCTGAGGGATGTTGGCCAGACTGCTTTGCCTCTCCGAGCCCCTCCACCCTGACCTGTACAATGGGGCCCTGGGAGATACTGCTAGAACTGATGGGGGGATGAAACGATAATGGGTAGGATGCTGTGCCTCCATCCATGTCTAGAGAACCATGTCCTAGTTCAGAGAAACCAAGGATTCAATTGACACGAAACTCGCAAAGGGATGCCAAAATGTATATTTTATATATATATATATATATATAATTTTTCTCCCCTTCCTATGAAAAGCTACAAAAGTGAAATTCATATCTTAATGACTGGCCTGGGCTAGCATAGTACTCAGCCAGGAAATTTACTACCTCTTGAAGTGATTACAAAGCTCCTTCCAGACTGTCCTCTTCAGCAAAGGAAAGAAAATGTGTCTGGCCCTTTCAAGCATCGTCTGGCAGGCAAAGGGTGTTATTCGTAGAGCCCAGAAAATATACCGTAAGGGCTTCTGAGTGCTGTGGGCTCCTCCTTGTGTTCTTATCCATCCTTCATGGGACGGCAGTTTGGGCTGCTGGGGCAGTCACACTTCCTTTCAGAACTTCAAGGGATTCTGCTCATTGGCAGAGATGGAAAAAATGTGGCTGAATTGACTTAATTTAATAATTCTGGCCCAATTTATGTAGGAAAAGCTATGAGAGAGGACGGGTGCAGGGACTTTGGAGAGATGCTCATGGGAGGTGCAGAATATGCAAACATCTGTAATAACCAAGCAGGTGAGGGGTTTGGGATTTTTGGTTGGTTGGGTGGTTTATTTTAATGTAGACACATGGGTAATGAACAAAAGGAATAGCTTGCAATGACTAGGTCCCACTCCAGTCCTGCTCTCCAGGGGCAACAACCAGCTTTTTTATTTATTTTTTTAAATTGTGATTTGGGTGAAAATTTACAGAGCAAATTCACTTTCCATACAGCAGTTCACATATTTTGTCTCATGACATTGACTACAATTTCCCACAATGCAACAGTTCCCCTCCCACTTCCTCCCGATAGTTACCTCTCTCCTGTGTCCATCCTTCCATGCACTCCTGCCCCCCTGAGCTGTCTCCCTGTGCATAAACAGCCCTTCTTTCTC